TAATTTCTCAAAATGGAACTTAGGTACTGCTTTCATTTTCTTGAGCAGAAAACCAGCCTCTTAATTTAAAGTGAGAGATTTAGCCCATATATCTGAACTAAAGACAAAGAAAACTATTGAAATGGAACACAGGCTAGTGTTGGAAAAAACAACAAACATATCAATCTCCCCGTCATAGGGGCGTGCACGGGTGTTTAAATAGATATGTTTTAAATTTTTCTTCTTGGGTACTTTAAAACGATTTGGTCTTTATTCAACCAATCAAGGTCAACATACACCAAGCATTGCTGGCAAACATGCATTCTAGTCCAGGGACGGTGATGAAATTTGAATCTTGGATTATGAAATAAACAACTCGAGCAAAAAAGAAATCAAATGGAGCGATTCTCTTTGATACATTTGCCTCCTTTTCAAACGATCATTTATTTTGCCTTCTGGTAGCAGATTTCAGCTGTATCCCACAATGAAGTAATAATAATAATAATGGGAATTCTGATTAAAGATCAACCTACCCTCAATCATGAAATAAGTGGCCTTGGTGAAATTACCAATACATACTCACCAAACGGGAGTTTGAATGAAAAGTATATAATCCATAAAATTAGCTTTCCCCCTGAAACTTCAGGATTGCAGTGTCAGGTACCAGCGTATCTGTCTACTACAAGGCAAATTAGGCTCGAAAAGGCCTCAACTTAAAAGCTTAAATTGATTTGAACATACACAGCTTATTATCTTCTAATTAGCTACTACCAAATTTATCTGGATTATTCTATCCATATTACGAAACTCTCAAAATTGTTTTAATTTAGCTTGTGGCTGATGTTTTTTTTCAGTAGAGTTGCTTAAAAAGCCTACTAGGCTGTTGTGGCTAGGGGGGGGGGGGTGGAAAGAATAATAGACGAACTGACTTGATCTAGGTAGTATAGCAGATTTTTGCCTCCTTACTCTACGACAGAAAATGTGTTGGAGCGTCCCACCCCCCTTATATTGCAATGAGGGGTGTGCGATAGACTTACCTCCACGTGGTGCACCCTGGGCAACGTATACTCATACGGCAAAAAAGTCTATAAACCGGAAGTTGACTCCTGAGTTCAACCTATCATGACCCCACTGTATGTCATATTTGACCACTGCCACATTACGCACCTCACCTTTCATCTACCTTTGTGTCTTTCTCATTTATATCTTTAAAACACTCTTCTGTTCACCCCCCCCCCTCTCGACTTTTTTTTCGATTTGATGTTCCTCTCCCTCTGTGAAGCCTGAAGTCAACTAAATGGCTAATGATAACTATCATAAAGCCTGCCATTTGATATAAATAAATATTACAATGAAGATTTTGGCGACACAGTGGATTCAATGTTTCATTCTCTACCGCAACGTTTAAATACCTTCGTTAATTTTCAAAAAATGGGCAACCCATAGATCTGCCAACTCCTCCTCGCTGAGAAGTTATTTGAAAATCGTAGCACAGCTCTGACAAAAAAGGCACACTTCACAATCTCTCTTGCTAGCCATTCACACACCACTGTGCCACGAAAGGATGTTCACCAATGAGCATTTATCGCAGTTCAGACTTGAACGTTAATCAACGGAAAAACATTGATAATTCTCACTATATGCTCCATTATTGTTGGAGAGCGTAACTCCATCAATGAAATTGCTTAACCAAGGCACACACCCACTTATTATTCACTAATCGCGTATTTCATTGGTCATATCACAAAAATCAGATGACTTTCAAACTTCAAGTTCATAAATTTCAATTGTTTAGTAAATTTAATCAAAGACAAATGTAAGAGAGGTTTTCATTCCAGTTTCGTCGTTTTTCTTTCAATGCTAATGCCCTACATTTTCTAATTATTTCTAACGACACTGTTTATAATTTTCGATTGGGTCACAGGGTTTTCTCATTAATATCCAGAAGAACTGTTCATTGAGAAAAAAACTAGCACAAAAATAAACAGTAAGTTAATTTTGAATTTTATATGAGAGGACTACGTTTAAAATGAAGAAAAATAGGAAGGAATGGAGGTTGCCATGCAACTCAAAAGATTTGAAATTCCAGGTAAAATTGTTCTAGGGGGTGGGGGTGGGAGAGGAGAGGGAATTTAAGTCTAATCCACCTAATATATTTATTCATATCAAATGCTAGGCGTTTCGATAGTTATCATTAGCCCTTTAGTTGACTTCAGGCTTCACAGAGAAGAACGAACATCAAAGTGAAAAAAAGTCGAGAGAGTGGGGGGGGGGAACAGAAGAGTGTTTCAAAGACGAAGGTAGAAAATTTAGAAAAAATGTGATGTGAGTACTATGGAAGTAGTCGAATATGACATACAGTGGGGTCAGAAGACAACTGCCGATTTATAGACTTTTTAGCCGTATGAGTACACGTTGCCCAGGGTGCACCACGTGGAGGTAAGTCTATCGCACACCCCAATCCACTAATATAAGATAAAACAGACTTTTCAATAATTTTAATCACCAACAATAAAATAATAGAATGCGAAAGAAGTAAATATTTGCATTGCATAATAAAAGAAACCGCCTGAAGAACTCAAAATAAACCCTTTAATTTATTAAATTATTTATTTATAAATTGAATGGACACGCCTGCAATTGAAAGCAGTGATCAGTTTCAAGGACCAATTGTCGCATGAAATCTGTTTAATGACGCTTCAATTATTGATAATTGATTAGAAATTGTAGTAACGACGAGGTTAAGACATGAAATAAAGCATAAACGTGTTTAGGGCAAATTTATTCAGCTCGTAAAATTTAAAAAAATAATTTTCGTGGATTATGCAATGTAGGATGAAGGAAATTTGGAAATTTTTTGTTTTGAATGACAAAGTTTAAGGAGTCTGTTCGTCTTCTTTCTAATACCCTAAAAAACAGGAAAAGGTGTTTTCTAAAGGAGAGTTTATCAGCATGGAGGAGAGAAGTTAACCGGGCTTCTTGTTGATTAAGCGAGTAAGACTTATGCAAACTCGTGATCCGTTTAGAGGCACCAAGCAACGCACTAGGCAAGCACTTTTAACTCCAAGTGATTGGTAAGATGAAGACAAATGTTTTTATTAAAAAAACCAATTAGACTACCGGAAGTGGAGGGAGAGGAAGAAGTCAAGGACATATATAGAACCGATTTTTTTTCGTCAATTACATCATTACTCGAAACTGAATGGTATTGATCCAATCCTCACCTCTCTCGTTGCGTATTTTACATTTTTGCGATGGAAAATGAATTGTAAGTACACCTATTCATCTTAACAGAATCCTTTCAATTTGTAACGTTGTGGCTGTGTAAAGTTGTATGGATATTGTTACAATGTCAAAAGATGTTAACCACCAAGGCGCCCTCAACTACATTCCCGCAATGATCCCCTTTTGAATTAAAACCATTTTAAACATTTTATTGCATAATTACTAAATATTATAACAATATGGCGGCTATTTAAGACTGATTTTAACTTGAAAATGAGTAATGCCACCCATGATTATCAAACCCGAAGCAGGAGAAAAGTTGTAGTGGATTAATTCGTATATTTCTGTTTGAGTCTGATGCTCATAAACATTCAAGCTGAGTGATTGATTAGTCGCATTCCACTATCACTTTTATTATTATTATATTACTTTTATTATTATATTTTGAGACGGCAATAAGAAACTGGAAAGAGAACACTATTTTAGTGGTAATTTAAAAAAACGCCACTTATAGCCATGGCTCTAATCATTTTCTAATACCTCTATTATGGCTTTTTGCTTAATGAGCTATGAATCACTCTTTGAGAAATGCTATTTGACGTTCTGTGAGATTGCTGCAAACAAATAAGAGGTTATCATTTGTCGATATTGCCTTCAACTACAGCACATAATTTATCTTATGCCTTTATCTTATTGTAGGATTTGTCAACAATGTAATTTCATATCAAAATCTAAATATAGGGTAATATATACTTTTTGGTTAATTAAGCAGAGCGAAAATACATAATATATGAGATAATAGTTCAATTTTTATTGGCTTCTTTGAAGAGAGTTCATATTGAATGACGATATTAGTTGAAATCGAAATCTACAAAAAATATGAAAAAAGAAGATAAATAAGATAAAAGCCTATAAACAAGTTCTATTGGTCTTCAAGAGATTTAACTAACCTATGTTGAATTCACAGACGATGCAGTTATTGCGCTAAGGATTTCGACGTACTGAAGAAAGTTTCTTGAGTCTGCTTCTTGCCTCTAGCGCAGAGGTCGAACACTGGCCTTCTAGAGGTACCAGAATTTGATGGCACAACCAGATGATCCTCATAAAGTATTTACCTACAAAAGAAGAATGCAGTTATTGCAATACATCGTCTTAAATCAATTATTAACTTTTCACTTAATGTGGCTATGGAGGTAGACGAATCAGGGAAATTCGGATAGTAACGAAGTCCTCAAAGAACACAATATGGTCATTTTTGGCACCGAGATTAAATAGAAGTTGCTAGAACTTCTCACGCTCACTGGCCGACACTTAAGATTGGTAAAAGCATATTTCATATCGCAAATAGAAGAAATCCAGCTTGAAGACGCTCAGCAAAGGTCATAGAGGTCGCAGACTGTCAAACTCACCGGCATGTTAATTCAAGATTTTAACTCTACAGCGACACAAAACGTGTTTGCAAGCAGCCAGATGGACTAAAATTTAGAAGAATTGCATATAGCATAAAGCTAAATCTCTATAAAGGCTGATAGAAATTGAAATCCATTTATCTTTCTAAACTGCTTCTTATCAATACTTGCTATTTTATCTTATTTCTACATTTACTTTTCAAATGGACTCCCTTCATACACATTTTTTTAAGAAGTCATGTTTTAATACCTTTTCAAATAATATTTAGGGGTTAATCTCCAGGGTATGATGATTGGTTAGCTAGTCAGTCAGTAAATTTACACATAAAATGAAGAAATATAAAAATATGAAATGGGTTAGCTTTGTTTTTTTTTCTGGTTAATTGTTCAAATATTCAGGCCACGAGGACCCTTAGTAGTGAGATCCAAAGGGATGTCGTCATGGACTGGCTGTGGAGGTTGAGAAGGTGTCAGAGGTTGAGACCGTTGAAGTTGCTGTGAAGGAGGAGGGTGATGACGTTGGTGGGAATAGAAAGGCCTAGTTGTCACAATTTTACTTGAAGAAGTCCGCCTTGTAGACGTCTTTGGAAAATTATGACTGTACTGTACTGAATGCTTTCCTACAACCATGAAGGCACTCCTATTGCTCATTCTAAGTCCCAGACCCTCAAATTGACTTTGAAGTCGTTGAATCTGACTATCTGCTTCTCTTGGAGGTCTGTAGGTCACTGGTGGAGGCTGATTACTCCATTCTAGGTGAGATGAATGACTGTACTTCATACTAGTATTTTGATTCTGATAGATTTGACCAGTATGTGTTGGTGTCATAAACGATGTTGAAATAGGCATGCTTGGCTTTATATCATATGGTTCGGACGGAGTTGAAGGGTAATCCTCAGGTAAAGACCTTGGCGGAAGGGATGGAGTCTGTTTGTGACCTTGACTTTGATTTAGACTTGGTCTAAATTCCTCTCGAGGTGAATTCAGTGGGTTTGATGATTGAGGGTGGGTTGATGAGACCAAAGGAATATCTACAGCATTGGTCTCAACAGCTGATAACTGCGATGAAGTTAGTTCTTCTCCTCTCATTGTTCTATCAAATATTTCTAGAAAATGGGGCAAAGATTAGCCTTTTTTCGAATTCAAAACCTACCTTGGTGACGTTTTATGTGGGTTTTAAGAGAACTCTCTGTGGTATAGGTTCTTGTGCAAAATTTACAAGCAAAAGGCTTGACTTTATTATGAACGTGCTCGTGACTTTGCAAGCTACGCATTGTCGCAAAACCTTTGTGACATTGACAACAGAAGAAAGGCCAATTCCCAGTATGAGTGAACATGTGCCTTTTTAAATCCCCAGGAGTTACAAAATTCTTTCCACATTGTTCACAATGATGTCTTCGTCTCTAAATAGATTAAAAAATTTAGCAAATATGCTAATTTACCCCCTTGTGCGTATCAACATGGAAGGAATAGTTTGAGCATGCATTGAAGGACCTAGCACAGAATGGACATTTGTACGGCTTGACTCCAGTATGCGTCCGTTCATGAATTATCATTCCGTTTTTAGTAGCAAATCCCTTTTTACAATATGGACACGACCATGGCTTCTCCCCGGTGTGAGTGCGGATATGCCGAATGAGTAGAGATGGTCTATCAAATGATTTGTCGCAGTAACGGCAAGGATGACTTTTCTTATCCAGGTTATTCTTTGTACTTGATCCTGGCTCGTGGAAAACCTCTGAAAGTCTGGCTGGATTCCTGTGGCTTAGGGGGGTTGAGGTAGCAAATAAGTCTATTGAAGACGATCCTTCCTCTGATGAAGCGAGCTGTCTCTCTAAAGTCGAGGTACTCGCAGATCCGATTCCACTATCTCTATTCATTGATTCTTTATCACCTGATAGACTTTCTCCAGTTCCTAATGCCTTAGTAGCCAAGAAGCCTTGATCGGACTTTGAATAGAGCTTTAAGGGGTAAAGAATAATATTTGATTTAGATGACCTCTGGATGAAACACGAAAATTTTTAAAACGTATTTTAAAAGAAATGGCTTTTAGATCGAGCAGTGAATGAATCCTCAATTGTGCCTAAAAATAAACTGAAAATAATAATAAATGATTACTGGGAGAAACAATAACATTTCTACCACGGAGATGTTTAACCCCCAATACATGATAAAGCGGTATCAATTAAGGCCTGCCTTTATAGGCTGATGACACTTTAACCAATTAGGGGCTGCAGTGATAAATCTGCATAGATTGGTTAAGTTCTGGAAGTACCACGAGTCAAAATGTGCTCTGCAAAGGCTGTCAGGCACACAAAGCATCGACTCTTTAAAAATCATAGAATCATTTAGACTTTAATACATATCTAGGAAACAGTATTAGGGAAATTTAAAAAAGGGAGTTGAATTTGAAATTAGGGTGTGGGATTGTGGGGGAGACTAGGCGAGGGAATAAGTTATGAATAAATTAAGCGTGACTTTGGAGTAACCGTGAGAACTTAGCCTTAATTGCATGAGGCAGATCAAGGGTTCTTTTAAGGTTGGACAGTCCTTAATAATCCACCTTCCTCCCCCCCCCCCCCCTCCCCGCCCTCTCTCCCCTAGGCACCTTAGATTAAAATCGCTTTCATTGTTGAGATATTAACCTCCAAGATTGCGATTGAATAGGCCGCTCTATTCCCCCCCCCCCTCCACCTCTGGCCTAGCGACAAGCCATAATGACCTAACTAACACTCGAGTGAACTTAGATTACACGTTCGTGTTCATATAGTTGACGCATCAAGGAACTAAAGTTGTCGGTCTATTAATAAATAAAGAAGTAACTGCTCAAAGTAAAATCGTTTGAAAAAATGCCAAGGTTGCCGAAAAAAAACATAGTCAGTTAAATCAGTAAAACTGGATATCTGATATGTTCAAACTCTTAAGTTTATATGAGGCAAATATGGGTTGTACGACAGACTTACCTCCACGTTGTGCACCCTGGGCAACTTATACTCATATGGCAAAAAAGTCTATTAACCGACAGTTGACTTCTAACCTCAAACTACAATGACATTTTCTTTTTCTTTACCTTTGTGTCTGTCTATTTTACATCTCCGAATCACTCATCTGTCCCCTCCCCCTCATTTCGACTGTTTGTGACTTTGATGTTCCTCTCTCCTGTAAAGCCCAAAGTCAACTAAAAGGCTAACTATCAAAAGTCTACCATTTGATATATACAATTTATTCAATTTATTTGTTAGTAGTTTTCTATATGTATTTCTATTTAAATAACGAATCTGCATCGCATCAGTGTAGAAAAATTAGAATAGGAACAATAGTCCCATATCCATGAGGATAAATGGTTTTTTTACAACCAACTAAGTCCAGGCCATAGTTCCATTAAATAATTTGATTAATTTATTTGACATAGCCACTGATAATATAAAATTTTGCAGAGGCCTAATAATGATATATTTAAGTTACTTAAGGCTGTTCAATCAATGAATTGAATTTGAATCTCCAAATTTTTTAAAGGCTTTAGAGGAAGAAAATAGGCACAAAATTAAATTTGTTGGTGAGGTATGACAAGCTTACGGAGTACCAGACAAAAGACATTGTACTCAGAGATTTTAGGATCTCCTCATTCTCTCAATAGGCACGACCATCCAAATAGAACGTGTGTAGCAAGCGAGAATGCATTATACAATTGCAAAGAAATTAAGTGAACACTGTGTCTACCATCTCAAAAGATAATTCTCATATAGGGGTATGATCTGAGTTAAATTGTGAATATGACAGCAATAAACTCGAAGGAACCTTTTTTTATGCAGTTCGCATACCCTTCACACCTGGAGACAGAATTCAGCAGCCGATGCGTGGGCGGTCCGTATAAACCAACAGAGAAATGGTAAGGCATAGAAGTCTTAGTATTTAGCGATGAGACCCCCGTAAGCTACGGTTCTACACATAGTAAAAGTCGACTAATTAGTAAAATATTTCAAAACGCATTGACTGTTGCAATTAGCCTAACAATGGACAACTATATTGGTGCATCAAAGTTTGAACAAGCAAATAGTCAAAACATCAAAAGATAATGAAAAAAAAACATGAAAACAATAAGACATACGCTGATTGATGAGTCTCCAGACACCGGTTCCTTTAAATCGAGTAAACGATTAATTGTAAATTCTATCATGTGAAAGGGAAATAGCACGAATAAAAGAGTTGCCAAAGTAGGGCCCTTGCGGTCTTTTATAAGTGAGCGACGTGGTCTTCTAAACATCATCCAATTGGAAATCAGAAGTAACGTCACTGGCCAATCAGTGGGCTACTAACTGCGAGCTCTAGTGGACATCACATCCAATTGGGATTGCGCACGCCAAATATTGCGGGGAATTTTTTCTTTGGTTAAAATCACAGGCTTAAAATTTGAAGGTAGAAAAGGTATTGATTTATGGGCCACCAATGATAGACAAATAAGTTGGAATCAACTGAAATAGTAATTTTCAACTGTCGATTCTGTGCAAAAAATTTCACTCACATAACCTTTTTGGCTGCAAGTGAATCGAGCACTACCTTGTCAATTTGAAGGTCAGTGTAGTGGAGAGCTTCAATAAATTCTTCTCAATTTAATGGGTAGATATTATGCCACTGGGGATTATGACAGAAAAATCGAGTAGATACCTGAGTTTAAAATATTAAAATCTCCTCATTGACGTCATTACCTTTAACCACTTTGAGCATTAATTACGTTAGCCAATCTTGTCTTCGAACTTAGTGCCAAAAAACCATTAAGACGGAGTTTACAGAGCTACAAATGACCTCATTTGTAATTCTTCGAGAACAGAATCATATAAACATATTTTGCTTAATTTAGGTTAAAATCAATCTCAAGACACATCAGTAGTCATCCATAATTAATGAATAATAAATAATGAGTATTAAGTAAAGTAAAAAGGAGACTTGAGAGAGGAAGATAGCGAGCTAAGGAGGAGAGTTTATGAGAGGAAACCTTACATGTTGATAATAAAGCAAGTGTCTCTGCGTTTGTCCTCTTGTACGTAACTACAAAATCGATTTGCCCAGACGTTTAGACAAGGACGCGCGTGAGGATGTGTGCAGGCACAATTATCAAAAAACTCACCAAGATATGGGAAATAGGGACTTGAGTAGCAGGAAAATATAGGTGAAAGATCAACCTATTTTCATAATGATTATGAATAGGGAAAAATTTTAGCTTAATTCAATATTATTAGAAAAATAGGCGTTCCTCTATAGTGCTTACGGAATCTAGCATACCAGCTTCACATTAGAGGCTCAGACAAAGAATTTTTCCTGGCGGGAATTTATTCCTAATTAGTTTCACATGTACCCAATTTCGGCTATTTATCTCACTCATTTATGATCTCCATCCGAAAAGAAATCCTCCCCCTTTATTCGCCTTCCAGTTTCTTATACTTTTTGATTCACTCCACACTTAAAGCAAAATGGGCCTATTTTGAGATTTATTCATTTGATTTACGCATATGCTATAACGCCTATGTTTTTGTTTCTCTGAGAGATTGTAGTTCTGGTGGTAGGAGAGAAGGTGAATAAAATGACACCCTGACTTCATCATCACAAATGTTCCCCCACTCAAACGACTACTCCAATTACTTCTTCTCAGTTACAATATATTATTTATAATGACTTATTCATTATATTAGGAGTTAATTACGGAGAAATTGAGTTACCGATAAGAGGTCTAAATCTTACCAAATCGTAGCTCCTTGTGAGGACTTTCGAACATAAGAAAATTGTGACAAAGTTTTTTAATTCCGTAAGAGGCCCAGCCCAATGAGTCACTTTCAATTCCATTTGATTTTGACTTGGGGGTTTCAAAATCAAGGAGCCTACAAATATTAAGGTAATTGGAGAAGCATGGGCAAGGCAGAGCGAGTGACGTTGGAAGAAGAGCAAAAGACTCGCGCAAAAAAAGTTAAAAATGACACGTTAAAAATATGAAAAATGCCAAAATTTGCAAAGTTTAACTTCTTTAATTTTTCATCTTTTACTTTAATCGAGGCTTAAAATTTATTTGAGAATGGTTTAAGGCTTAGAAAATAAGTACTGGAGAAAACTAAAGTTCAGGACTTTCTATAGAAACGACGCTCGTCATGTTTTGTTTTTTTACGATATTCTTGAAGGTGAATAGTCTGTGAGAGTATATAAGCATTACTTAGTCTCTTGTACAGTCCAAACACGATGTTTTAATTCCCTTAAAATCAATACCACAAGCATGCATCGTTGAAGAACAAAAGGAAAACTCTAGAATTTTAAATTTTAAATACTAAGTCCACTACTATTTCTTTAATTTTGATTCAAAGGAAAGGAAATAGTTATCAATAACAGTTACCGTAAAATACAGGCCTGAACAAACGCCAATAGCTTTAATAATAACAGAGTGGTTTACACCATATCAACTTTAATATTATTGTAAAAATCCTTTAAGAGGAGTATTATTAATGAATTTATCTAACAGAAATGAGAAAATGATCGCTATTAAGAATTGGAACTCGGGATTTAGTGTAGCAGTCCACCGAGTGACTTTCAGTAGGCGTCATTGTCTTAATGGAGTTGACATGGTCTTCCACTTAAATCTACTGATAACTCAGTTCGGAATGCCGATAATACCAATTTGTCAGGTTTCCAGAAACCAAATCGTGGAACTTAAGTCTTGGAACACCTGATTACGACATATTGAATTGCAACTTTATAGGCAGCAAATAAACGTTAATTTCAGTGAAAAGATACAAGTGAACAACTTTAGGTAAATTAAAATGGACATTTTTCGTCTGAAGTTAATCGTAATTGAATGAAAAAAGGTGGGTTATGGTGAATTGGCTACATCACTAAAGTC